TAATAATAATTAAATTTATCATTTTGAATTTGAATTAATTTAAAATTAAACTATAAATCTTTTTGTTTTTTTATAGTTTATTATTATAGAAAATAAATAAAGTTTTAATTATAATAATTGTTATAATAGAAGTAATAATAAATTTTTATATTTTTATTTATTATATTATTTTATTTAATTTAATTTAATTTAAAAAATAAATGGAAATTTTAATAAATAATAATAACAATAATAGTACTATTAATAATATTAATAATGTTAATAATAATAATAAAAATATAAATCAGTATAGTAATAATAGTGATAATAAAATAATGAACGAAAATGATATTTTCAATAATAATAATAACGAATTAATTACAAAAATACCAAGAGAGGTGTGGATTCATATTCTTGGTTATTTAAATGAAAAGGATTTATTAAATGTTTCTTTTGTTGATTCATTTTTATATCAAATTTCTCAAGATAATTTTTTATGGAAACCCTTATATCTAAAGAAATGGAATGTAATAACTTTACCGCATAAAAAAAGAATCTCGATAGATAAGAATTTAAACTCTAATAATAAAAGAATCAATACTAATAAACCAGCAAACAACAACCCCACAACAACAGATGAAAATAATAACAATTTTTCATTAAACGAATTAAGTGAATATTATAAAAATATTAATAATAGTAATATATTAGATAATAATAATAATAATAACAATATGTATAATTTATTTGATAATAATTTTAATAATAGTTATTTAAATTTTAACTTTAATAATGTCGATAATTCAATTAATCATAATTTAAATAATTTTGTTCAAAAAATATTTAAACCAAAACTAAATATTTATAATATAAATAATAATGATAATCAAGAATCTTTTATGAACCATTTGCCAATATGGAAGTCTTTATATAGAGAAAGGAAATTAATTGTAAAAGAAGGAGGTATCGAAGAATTTTATCATCTACTGGAAACATTAATAGCATATCCACTAGAGTTTAACAGAAAAGCGATGATGACCATGTACACAATAGTGTTTCAATTATGTATTGTAAACTACCGAATGATGAACTACCTATTGCCACCCATGGATCTTTATAGAATGTTAGTAGAGTGTTGCCACAATCACCTAATGAAAATCTTTAATGAATCTATTCTATATGAAGATGGTCCTCAATTAATAAGGTTTTACCTTCACCACTGGAACAACTATATTCATTCAATTAAACGTATCAATATTGTATTCAGTTATTTTCATAGAGATTGGATAAGTAAGCAAGGCGAAGATATTTTAGCAAGACCGCTCTCCTTTAATTTAAAAGGTGCAAATTGTTGGTGGAATAAAATGCTTCATGGAGGAAATACACCAAATGATCCATTAGCTTTTGTTCATTTAACAACAATGATGGCAAGAGGGTGGTTTACTGTTTTCTTTTCACAACTTCAATTTGATGAATCAGATTTAGATGACCTACCAAACGATCCATCATTACAACCACCACCACAGCCACAATCACAATCACAGCTACCACCACAGCCACAACCTCAACCTCAACCTCAATCTCAACCCCAACCTGAACAGTCACAACAACATGCTCAACCACAACCTCAGCAAAAGTTTAATAGACTATTTAATGCATTGGATAAGTGTAGAGATAAAAATGACTATCATTTAATCAGTAACCTATTTAAAGTCAATGGCTACAGCTACATGAATTTTATTATCTAATGGTGACGAATCATCAACATCCTTATCAACAGCTTCATCATCTAACATAATTCACCAAATAATAGTTCAACCAATCTCCACTTCCCTATATTCACTTCAATATATAACATTCTTAAAGTATATAATCCAAATAAACATAGTTGTGCAAGAGATAATAATATTGATATAATAATAAAAAAATGTAACAGTAATGTCTATAATAACCTAAACCAAAACAATAATATCAATTACAATATCAATAACTCTCTTTACAACTTTTATCAACAACAACAAATGAATAGTTTCATCTACAATGATAATAGTTCCAATTTTTATATAAACCCACAAAACACCTTTTTTCAACAAGGCTATCAGCAATTTCAGCAATATCAACATAATCAACAAAATAATATTTTTACATTCACCGATCAAAATTTCGTTTCTAGCTCCTCTTCTTCATTATCAAACTTAAGTAATAACAACGAGACATGTCAGTTTTGCTGTGTTTTTAATTCAAACCCACCTTCTTTGTGTGATGAAAAAATGAACAAAATGTTAAAAAAATGCTTTGTCCAGCTACTACTTAATCATATTTTAAAAAAAAATAAATAAAAAAAAATTTTTTGCATCTTTTTTTTTTATTAAAAATTTCAAAAAAAAAAAAAATTAAAAAATAAAATTAAAAAAAATATAAAAAATAAAAAAAAATCTGCTCGTTGGCTTATTCAAACAAATTTATTACCTAGAATCTTTATTATTTATTATCGTTATTATTTAATTTAAGATTCATTGGCAAAATCAAATTATTAAAGATGTTGATAGTGCAAGAGATGAATGTGGATAAACTCACTTAAAATTAAAACATATGTTAATAATTTACAAGATTTTTAAGATGGGTTGGTCATACTTTAAATACTCGATAAGATTGAACCAGGCTCAATTAATTGGAACGATGTCAACATGAACCCATCAAATTCCTATATGGCTTTGGAAAATTGCAACTATTGTACAATCAATTAAAAAAGCTTCACTCATTTCACATTAATTGGTATTCGTTGCAAAATATTCATGAAAGTAATCGTAAATTAACATTATCTTTTTTATGGCAAGCTTGTAAATACCACTACATTTCACTCTTAAAATGCAAAATGATCAACCCATATTTATCGAAATTGATATCATTCACTGGGCAAATAAACAAGTCTCTGAGCATGGTATAGCCTCATGTATATCTCGTTTCAATGATCAATCTATTTCTGATGGGTAAGTTTCTAGTTCAAAATATCACATTAAATCGTCTCAGTCTTTCAAATAATGAAAATAAAAATTAAAATTAAAATAAAAAATTAAAATTATAAAAAAAAAATAAAAAGAAATTTCTCAACTCAATGACTTTAAAGTTATTTATTTAAAATAAATAATATTTAATTTTTTTTTTTTAATAAAAAATGAAAAATATTATTAAAATTTTTTTTTGTTGAAATTAAACAGTTGGCATCATCATTTTTTTTTGAATAATTCAGATTGCAATGGGTTCTAAAATTGGTAATTTTCATTTTTATTTAATTAAAAAAAAAAAAAATTTATTAATTCATTTCCCAAACATATTAGCAACTTTATAATAATAAAAAAAAGTGTGTGGTGGGGTTAAAATTTAATTTTTTTTAATTTTTTTTAATATTTTTTTAATTAAATTATTTTTTTATTAGGGTATTGTGTTTAAAAAATAAATGGATGATCACTACTTTTATGATAGCTACAGATTAATAATTTAAAAGAATGCACAAAATAGGGAATACCGAGTTTGGATCTAATCTATTATATTTACAAAAGGAAATTATTAAACTTTTTATTATTATTAATTAAATTTTTTATTATTTTTTTTTCAAAATCAAGTTTTTTGTTTTATATATAAATTAATTTTTTTTTCAAATTTTTTTTTTTTTAATTCAATCTAGCCATCAAAAGTCCTTTGTAATCAGTCAGCTTAATTTTTCAGCCTCGTTATAGTTATATTTTACATAATCATATAATTTTATTTTTATATATATATTTAATTATTTTATTATTCCCATTTTACCCTACTCAATTTACAGGTAAATAAAAAAAAATGGGCAATTATTTTTCAAAAAAGGTAATTATCTCTTATAACATACATTTTAAAAAAAAATATAAATATTAATTATAGCTTTATTTGTATATAGGAAACTTTTGAAAATCAAGTTTTAGCTATGGAGTCCAGAATTGCTAATATGGAGTCCAGAATCAATAGCTCTAAAACTCGTCTTCATAATAATTATATAAAAATTATTTTTTATTTTATTATTATAGAAATTATTTTAGCATATTCTTTATACACCATATTTTTTTCATCCGACACTTTGTCTGAAAAGGCAATGTGTTTTGTCTATTCATTATTAATTTCCATTGGGTAAGTTGTTCATTATTAATATATATTTTAATTTATTATTGGTATTAACATTTATATTATCATTTTAGATTCTACAGTTTTGCTAAATTATATAGATTTACATTTGGTAAATTAATAATTATTGATGAAAAAAAATTAAAAAGGCACATTCAGGTCTCGAAGAATTATTCGAAGAAAGAAAACGTGTGACCGATTATGAGCACACTAAAAAGCTTTTGGAGAATTATGAACTTTTTAAGAAAAAAAGTAGGTAAAAGATAGTATTCATTATTTAAATATATCTGTAGTAATGTAGTATCTAACTATTTTTTTAGATTTTAATAATAGAGACCATCATCAACATCAACATCAACCACCATTAAAAAAACAACCGCCCACCAACAACAACTACAACCACCACAACAACCAACAACATTCACAACCATCACCACCACAACAACAAATTTTTTTTATTATTTTAGACAATAATAAAATTATAAATAGAATATTTTAATAGAATAGAACTTAGTAGTGATAAATATAGAAAATAAAAATAAAATAGAAACAATAGACAATAAATTTTTTCATTCTAATCAACCATTTGATGAATATCAGACATTGTTCTGGCCAAGCAACTATGGTATCATCGAATGGTTTTATAGATATAGGAAAAATTTAGTTGGTCCTATCTGGTAGCTTCAAATAAACTTAAACAACTTACTTGACACATGTTCTAGATTTCAGTAAATCCGTTATGTCCAATTATAAAGTTGTGCTTCAATACCCAGATTTCATTATTTTAATAAATGCTGCCTTTATTTTATTTTTATTTAAATTTTTTTTCAATTAATTAAACCCAATAAAAAAATTCTTTTAATAAATAATTATTTTTTTTTATTTTAATTTCTTTTTAAAATTTTTTTTATTTGATATTAAATAAATCATTTTAAACATAAAATGTCAAATAACAATAATCTTAATATAGCAATTATTCAAAAATTTGGAACTGTTTATTATGATAAAGTAAGGATTATTGATGAAATACCAAATTTGCTTGGAAGCTGATCAACTAATGTATAAATCAAAAATATTTAATGACTGTTTACAGTTTAGCAACGAACACTGGATTGCATTGGACTACAACACACCACTCACTTCGAAAGAGATTATAAAGAAATTTACCAAGAAAGAACCAACCACAAGGAAATTCACATGGAGCTACTATCAAAAATATCACCTTTTTTTTTTTTTTTGCAATATTTAAGTTTTATACTATTTTTAAAAAAAAATTGAATTTATAGTTTTCTTTTTTCAATTCCAAAATATCGTTTTATATCACTGGTTCCAAGATAATTTTTTAATTTTTTTATCACTGGTTTTTTTTTATAATTTTAAAAATAAATTTTTTTATTTTTTATTTTTTTTTTTATTTTTTTTTTTTTAATTTATTTTTTCCTTCATGTCTTTTCATATATTTTAAATTTTTTTTTTTTAATCGTTATTTGTATCCAATAATTTTTAAAAATAATTACCATCTAAAATCAATTGCTATGAATATTACAAATATATAACAAATAATAAATAATAAACATATATATTTTCTTTTTTTTTTTTTTTTTTTAAATTTAAAAAAAAATGGATAAAACCATCGATTTCTTAGAGAATGCAGACTTACAACCAAAATATGTCGGTATGTGTAGTTTTTATTGTTATTATTAATTAAAATAATAATTAATTTTTTTTATTTCTATAACAGAGGACAAGAAAGGTAGAAATCCGTTAAGTGGTATTATAACGATATTATATTTACCATTATTATTTATTTATTTATATTATTCAATTCAGCCACAATATCAACCATTACCATCATGTTGTGCATGTGCAAGTCATGCAACTCCATTGGATTCGTGGATTTATAGAGCAAATACGGATCAATGTAAAAATAGTACAGAGTGTAAAAGTTATATACAGAAAAAGTTAACATTAAATTGTGACGCTACACTATCATATTTACCAATACCTGATACCAATTTAACAATGAATATTGCTAGTGTTGGTTGTATAGATTTAAAACCAGGTGATACCTGTAGTGCCGAATGTTTACAAGTATCACAAAGTTGGCAAACATCCTTAGATTATACAAATCCCGATAACTCTTATCAAGCCGTTATAAGGTGTCCATTAAGTGTGGGTGTTTGTGACTTTAAAGCTGTATACAGTAATCAAGAAACAGTGCCCCATGGAGTTTGCAGATATCCCGAATTAAGTGGTAACTATTATTCTGTTGTTTTGATTCATATGAATAAAATTAAATAAATCAATATAAACTAATTAAATAATATTATTTATAGGTATTTTAACAGTACTTGGTTCAGGTCTTGGTTTGCTTAACGGTTTATTGATTACGTAAATATTATTATTGATATGGTTTTCAAAGCAATTATATTAATTAATAAAACTAATAAATATTTATTATTTAGTATGAGGGTTATGTTAAGAACATTTTGGAATAGAATCGGCGCTAATAATACAAGGAATGGGAATATATATGATTATTGGAAGGGTGTAATAATAGGTGCGTTATTCAATTATTTTGGAATCTTATATTTATCTTTAGGTAAAGGTGTTACGAAAAGAATGAGATATGGTGGTCAATTATCTATGGGTTTTTTAATAATGTTTTTTAAGTCTCCATTTGTAATTTATTTAGTTCAAATATTTTCATCTTTTTGGACTCCTATAGCAATTTTGATGATATTGGGATTCATCTCTATTGGTATCATCATCCGTACAATCTATAATTTAGTGGTTTTAGAAATGAGATCTAGAAATTGCGTAGTTTTATCTCAAGGCCCAATAGAACATTTTGGTAATCAAGATGAAGAAAATCCAAACGAAAATTATTATTTAAAATACTATCAACAACCCGAAAGGCTAAAGCCAGTGCCATATACAACATGGAGAGATTTCTTCCAAGGTCTATATATGAATATCTTTTCTTTAGTTCACCTCCGAGCCAAATCGTATCGACGTTACTCTGGTTTGAAAAATGGCTTCTATGTTTCAATTTCTTTAACAACTATAACGCTGGTATGGGCTTTGCTATATGGTTTATGTGGATGGGAATATATAACATACAATTTCCCATTTCCATTAGTACCAATTAAAACGAATGGAAATATAAAGGATTTAGATAATAAATTACCACAAAGTTTTAATATTGACGATTTTTTTAATAATAATAGTAATGATAACAATGCAAATAATAATAGCAGCAATGCATCAAGCTATTCATTATCAACCTCAGGCTCAAATGATCATTCATCCTCTTCTAGTATTATACCATCAGCAAATCAAAAAGCAGTAACATTACAACAACTTTTAAGTATAGCATTCCTTCAATCAGTATATTATGTGGTTTCATGGGCTCTAGTAATGGTTATAGTATTTCACTTTTCATTGTTTTTAAAGTATCTACCAGAGAATTCAAACTTTTTATTATTCAAGAAAAAGAAGCATGGTAATAAAATCGACTACAAGTTTGGATTTCTTGTTGGAATTGCTCCGGTAGTTTTAAGTAGCTTTTTCTTTTTCTACTTTGAATTTTACCCATATTTAAATCTACCTTTACCAGACTCACCAGATCTATGCGCATATCCAAGTTGGACACTAGTCATACCGTTTTTAGGGCTTATACCAGGATTTTTTTGTTTTATATTTGCAGTTTCAGAAAGATTCAGATCAGGTGTTTTATCAGCAATTGGAGTATCAATACTATTCTTTGGTATGGGTGCCACTATATTACTATTAAACTATTGTATAGATCCATACCAAGACCAATTCAATCCATTGGCCTGGTTTATTTCGTTAATTGGTACCTTTATTATTGTTTATGGTAGTATAAGAAGTGACCAAATTTTAATTCTTGATAAAAAGAAAGAAAACCCAAGATTCCTAGAGGAAGAAAGATTATTAAGTCCAACTCCAATCAAAAATATTACCGAAGATGTCTATGTTGATCATAGTTTTGACAATAATTCAAATTCCTCAAATAGTATGCATAATAGTATCTTAAATTACAATAGCTTTAATGAAAATAATTTTATAGAACAAATCAATCAAGAATCTAAAAATGATATTTATATTAATATTAATAGTAACAAAAATAATAGTGATAATAACAATAATGATAATAATAATAATAATAATAATGGTGGTGATTATAACTATCAGATGTAAATAAATTCAAACTTTTTTTTTTTTTTTTTTTTTCTTAAATTATCAAATTTTTTTATTTTTAAAATGTATTATTTAGAGTATCTCCTTTAGTGTTGTTCAATAACCATAATTTCATTTCTTTGCTTCATTTAATTATTTTTAAAATTATTTTTTTTTTTTATTTTTTTTTTATTTTTTAAATTTTTTAAATTAAATTTTTTTATTATTTTTTTTTTAATTTTTTTTTTTTTTACTTCAACTGGTAAATTTATGAATTACTGCAACCTGCATTTGTAAAAAATAATCCAAATAGAAAGAATAATAATAATATTTCCACCATAGTTAAAATTTTATTAAATAATATGGTACGAAAATGTTAACAGCTTTTAAAACAATCAAAAAACTACACCCAATCACTCCAATACCATTGAATTATAATAATAATAATAATGGTTTAAAAAGAAATAACAGTAATGGGTGTAATAGTATATTTAAAAATGATTCATTATCATCAACAACAACATTATTAAACTGCAATAAAAATTCACAGACAGATAACAATAATAAAAATAATAAAAATGCAATAATTAAAGGAAATTATCAATCACAAAGAAATTTCGGATCATGGGGTTTTAGAGTAAGTACTTTAAATATATATATGTTCAAATCATAATTATGACCTTTTTACTTATTTAATTTTAAAAATTTAAAATCCAGTTTTTAATGGGTTTTACAATTGTTGGTTTTATGTTTATTGCAAGAAGATGGCAACCAAGACAAATTCAAAGAATTATCAATATGTTCAAAAAGGGTTCAGATGATATGGATATTTTATCACTTACAGCAAATGACCAAACCTTTCTTTCAAATATATCATTTAATCGTGAAAAAGAAGTAAACTATTTAAATTCATTTCTTATGAAGCCACCAATTGGTCCTATAGTCATAGCTGGTCCCGAGGGTTGTGGAAAATCACATATTGTTCGTAGAGTTTTATCATCAAGACAAATGTCAATTTTAGTAGATATGAGAAAAAATGCTGTAATTACAGATGACGAATTGTTGTTATCATTTTTAGGAAGATTGGGATATTTATTACCATCAAGTGATCCAATTTCATCATTATTTTTAAAACCTGAAAAAAAACAAAGTAAATATATATTTCATATACAAACAATAATAAAAGTTTAATTTTAAAAAATAATAGATTCTAACAATTGTTATTTCTTTTATGTAGGAGTTAATGTTCAAGAAATTGTTCAAGGTTTAGATACAGTCTTTCAAGCATTAGTAAAAATTAAAGAAACCTATCAAATTACACCATTAATTACAATTTCAAATATTGAAGCACTACCAATTTCTGAAAATTTTACTAGATTCTTAGATTGGTGTATTGCAGTAACTGACAACAAATTGGCAAATATTGTATTTTTAACATCATCACAATTTATACATTTCCATTTAGACCAAAGTAATATTATTATTTTTTAAAAACCTAAAAAATCATTTACCAACTCTTATTAATTTTATATTTTTTAATCATATTTAGATACCAATTTTAAAAAAAGAAGATTTGTTTATAACATAAACTTCCCAAGTAATTCAGAGGTTAGAAATTATTTGCATTTGGTTTTTAGCGATGAACATTCTCATACTAAAATTGCAGATCACCCAATAATAAAATCATCAACTGAAGAAGAAAATGTAAAGGATAGCGATGAAAACTATAACGATACTACCACCAACAATGATCAAAAACAAAATAAAATTGCAAATTATAATAAAAATAAAAATTCACAGATCGTTAGTAGTGGAGGTCACAGTAGTTATTTAAAAAAGGTTACAACAGGTATCGATTTAATAAATACAAAGAACTGGTTATCAAATGAAGAAATTGAAAACATGATTTCAATTTTTGGTGGTCAAATGAGAGATATTGATTTAATCTCAGGTTTGGTAAAAAGAGGTGAAGATTATCATTTTTTAGTTGACCTTTTCATTTCTGAATCTGTTCAAAAGTTATCATCTGTAATCGATTCAATGTACCAAAAAGCAAATGCATCCGATAGTGACACAAAGAAAACTCAAATCTTTGAAAAGTATCAACGTTTTTGGAAAATGTTGGAGGTTCTTTCAGATAAATATATTATTAGAGTCAGTGATTTAATTCAAGAAGTTTTTGATGAACAGCCCGAAGAATTGGATGAATACTTTCAAGAGAATATAATTTATTTTTGGGTGGGTTCAATTATTGAACAAAAGATTTTAGGAGAAAGTGAGGATCCAAAAGAAAAATCATTAAATAGTAAAGATGATGACAATATGGGCAGAATAAACTCTGCAAAAGTTGCAGCAGCTCATGCCCCAAACATGATAGATGAAAATGGTAAAATTATTATTTCAGAAGATTCAACAACACCACCACCAACCATATCAAACAACAAACATGAATTAATTGACAACTCTGTACCAATCAACCCAAGCTCCGCCAAACCAACTGACCACATTTTAATAACATCTGCAACAACTACAAGTGAAGTTCCAAATAGTACTTTTTATAGTTTGGTTAGTTTTTCATCACCACGTATTCAATACTCTGTTCAGGTTTTATCCAAAGATCAACGTTTAAAGCAACAAAGAGATGCCATCGATAAATATTTTAAGAAGCAAGATTTGAAAGATGAAAAAAAAGAATTAGAGGAAGAAAAAGCAATTAAAAATGTGGAATACGATAAAATCACTACCAGACTAGATTCCCTTGTAGCAAATTCTAAAGAGTGGGTCAAATTTGTGGGTGAAACTGATTTCATAAAAAGAAAAGATTTCTTAATTCAAAAAGAAGATGAACTTTTAACTCAAATTGAATCATTAAATCAAAAGATATATTTATTAGAAAAAGAGTTGGATGATTTATAAAATAATAAATTATTATTATTTTAATAATAATAAGATATTTTTAATTTAATTATTTTTTTTTTATTTTTTTTTTTATTTTCCAAATTATTGTAATAAAAAGATATTTTTTTTTTTTTTTGTTTTTTTTTATTTTTTTTTTTTTTAAATTTCTTTTTGTTTATTGCAAATAACCTCCAAAAATGATAAAACATAACCTTACACATTTTTTAAAAAATAGTAAATTTAATAATTGTAATGTGTTGTTAAAATCAAATAGTTTTGCGATTAATAGTTTCAAATCACCAAATCATATCAATAGATTCAATGGTTTACTAAATTTAAATAGACAATTTACAAGTAATAATCATAATCATGACATCAATAAAAAATTAATAAATGTAGATAATAATATTATTAAAGAAGATAATTTAAAACAATCCGAAGATGCCCTCAATAAAATATTTATAAATTCATCGATTCAATACACATCAATGGGAATATTATATTCAATGTTTATTAGTTATTTTCAAGTTCTTCCTGATAAAATAGGTTTTTTTGGTGGTATTTGTGGTATAGCTGCCTCTCTTTACTTTTTTTTAAAAAAACCAGTTCAAACCATAGTTCATCAAGATCAAAACAGTGACTTTAAAGTATCCTTTCCTAAATACCACCAAGTTCATAAAATTTCATATACAACTCTTTTTGTATCGTGTGGTTTGATTATGAGCTCCCTAAGGACGGTATTTCCAGAATCTGAACTGATTTTTACTTTAGTTTATGGAGGTTTATCAACAATTCTATTATCATTCTTAACATCAAGAAATAACTCTAAAAGCTTTTATAGACCATTACAAATGATGACTGCAAGCACAGTTGGTTTATTTTTGGCTTTGAATGCCTTTAAACCTACATTAATAGGACCAGATGCTCCTCAAATAGTTTCCGAGATGTTTAATCCAGTAAATGAAATACCTATTTTATTGGGTTGTGCTTTTTTTATGTTACTTCATACATGTACTGTAATAAGTGCAGTAAGAGTAATAAAAAAAAACGGTGTACATGATCCCATTAGAGTTTCAATGCCATTAATTGCAGGATTTTCAGTATTTTATGTAATATCTCCCATTTTTTGGTTCACATTAATATCTTTCTGTGTATATATGGCCTTTTTAATAGACGACGCATTTAATGGAGGAAGCCAGAAACAACAACAAAAAGAAGAATAAAAAATAAAGTAAAATAAAAATTATAGTTTTTAAAATATAGTTATATAAATTAAATTTTTATTTAATATTTTTTATAATTTGTGAAGTTGTAAGATTATTATCGATACTTTGGTTTAATGATGATTCATATACAATTAAGTTTAAGGATTCTGCTCTTTTCTTTAAAACTCTTTCTTCTTCCAATTGCTTTCTCTCAATAATCTATTTGCATTAAACACACATTTTATACATAGAGCTATTCGGATAGTTTTAAAAACCACAACTCTTAATACAAGAAAATAAAAACCCATAAATAATGAAACCTCCGAATACTGGATATTTCTGCCCTCGCAACCTTTTAGATGAATTGATTGAGGATAGAAATTGAAACGCTTAAAAGTACAAAGAATTGCAATGATGAAAGTCCATTCTAATAAATACAATATTACTTCAAAAATGATCGATTTATATTTCTTATAGATATACACTGGTAATAATAGAAGTGAATCTAAAAAAACCAAAACTGAATATAATAAACATGCATACATCATTCTGGTAGTTAATTCTCTAGCATCTATCGATTCTTGTGTCTCTATACTTTTGTTATACCTTTCTGTAGGTTTTGTAATTTGTATATTTCTTGTGCAAATTTCAACACCATATTTATCATTATATGATACTTTAAACCATGGAACTGGATATAAATAAAAAAAAAAAGATTATCATTAATATTAGATTTAGTTAATTATGATTTAAATTGTTACTTACAGCCCAATAGCATTCCACCTACTATTATTGTCGGAATTAAAATTACAATAAAATCACAAAATATTCCTTTGTTTAAAAATTTTAATGCACGGTCATAGTTAGTGTCTATCTCTTCTTGCGTTTTTATATTTTCCAAAGTTATATTTTCATCACCAGGAGTATTTTCTATATCCGTATTGTCACCATTGTTATTTGTATTATTTAAATCTACGCTGTTATTTAAACTTTGCTGTTGAATTCTATAGTTATGAATTTCAACAAGAATTTCTCCCAAGTCAGAATTCATTGTTTTTTATTTATTTATTTTTTTTATTTAATAAATTATTATTATTAATAAATTCATAAATTATTGTATACAATATGTATATTATTAAATTATTTTTTTGATGTGTTGTGTATTAAAATAGATTTTAAAAAAAAAATAATAAAAAAAAAATAAAAAAAAAAAATAAAAAAAAACAAAAAAAAAAAATAAATAAATATATATAAAATGTATATAATATATATATTAAATTTAATTATTTTTAATATATAAAATTAAGAAAAAGTTATAAATAACAATAAATATAAATAAAATAAATAAAATAAAATAAATAATAAAAATTAAAAAATAAAATTTTTATTATTAAATTTTTATTTAAATCATAATAAAAAAAAATTATATTTAATGTTTAATAATAAAAATAATAATTATAATGATAATGATTATATAATATAATATAAAATTAAATATTAAAAACAACAATTCCTAATTTAATATATATATTTATTTATACATTTTTATATAAACACACTTTTTTTTAACCCCTTTTCGAATAAATGATATAAAAAATAATGTATTTAAATCTATTAAACTGATTAAGTTTTTAATAAATTTTTTTTTATCAATATGTGTGTTTGATATTGCATGGTATTTTTTCTATCCAGAACATAAAGTGAGTAAGTGTATATGTTTGTGTGTGTGAGTGAGTGGGTGATTAAATAATTTTATATATCAAATTCCATATAAATATTTATTTTTCCAACATTTAAAAAATAGATAAATAAACACACTCCCACTAAAATATACAAGTAAATATTATTTAGGAATAAAATTAAAAAGTTTTTTTTTTCCTATGATGATGATGATGAATGAAGCTATATAAAAGTATATACTAAATATAGTTTTGATTGTGTTTTTTAACTCTTTTCAATTATTTAACTAAGATTAATTTTAAAAAATAATATTTAAAAATAAAATAAAATTCATAAGTAAAAAAAATTTGATTTATTTTTATTTTTTTTATTTTGTTTTTTAAATTAATAATTTTATTTAAATTATATAATAAATAAATAGATATTTAGGCTTGAAGTTTCATTTTACAATTTTAATTATATATTTTTTTTTTGAGATGTTTTAGTTTTTTATATTTTTATATTATTATTATTATTATTTTTATTTTTTTTTAACATTCACTTCCACCTACTTCTTTGAGGTCATGAAACGATTTTACACATATCGAGTTGGTAAAACTTTTTGATTTTTCATGTGGTTGATCATTTTGATGTTTTTGTTGTTTTAGTTGTTGGACTTTATAAACAAAATAAACACTGACAACTATTCTTAGTAGCTTGAGTGCGGCTGCTCTGGCAATTGCAAAATAGAAAGCAGAGCTTAAATGGTTTTCAAAAGTTGCTCTATTGGATGAACAGCCATCGATAGCAAAACCTTTTGGAATGAAATAATAACTTTTATAAGTGGATAATGCTACAATAATTAGAATCCAATCTAAAATGTAATATACAATATCTGGAATTAAGGAAAAATAATTTTTGAAAAATAAAACTGGAATTACCATTAATACATCAATGAAAAGTAAAACTGTTGATACTAAAAAAACTGTTAATACTTGATAACCTTCATGGTAATTATCCCATTGATTTTCTTCAAATTTTTGTAATGGAGGTTTTTGGGAACCCAAATGAATTTCTTTTTCACAAACTTTAACACCACTTGAATTGAAAAACTCGATTGAAAACCATGGTACTGGTAATAATAAAAAAAAATAAAAAAAAAATTAATATAAATTTAAATAATTATTTTTAAATTAATTTGCAACTTACATCCTATCATCATTCCACCAAAAAAAATACTTAACATTACATATAATACAAAAACCAAAATTGAATAGTTGATTTTTAATGTTTTCAATTCAGATTTATAATTAAATGAATCTGAATTTGAATTATTATCACTGGAACTATATTCTGTAATAGGTAAAATTTCATTTGATTTCTTTACACTACTATTTATAGAGTCCAATTCAATATTATTATTATCTTCATAATTACTTTGAATCATTTTACTGCTATTTATAATTTTATCGTAATTATTATATTCGTTATTATTATTATTATTATTATTATTATTATTATTATTATTATTATTATTATTAATATTATTATTATTATAACTAGTTTTTATAGAATCTTCGTTATTATTACTGTTTCTAATATTAATGCTACTATTATTTATATTTTTATCAATGTTATCAATTTGATTTAAATTATTATTATTATTATTCTCTTCAACCATTTTTTTTTATATTTTTTTTTTTTTTTTTTTTTTAATTTAACGTTTTCTTAAAATAGTTTGGGAGAAGTGGGTTAATTGTAATTGTTTTTTAAAATTATAATTATAATTATAATCATAAATATAATTATAATTATTATAATGTAGTTGTGAAATGGGGGTGAAAAGTGGGTTTATTTTTTTTTTTTTTACTGAGAGTTTTAAAAAATTATGTGTTTTATAAAATTATTACAGTGTATGTGTTTTGTAAAAATATGTGTATGTGATAGGTATCAAACTTTTTTTAAAACACACTAATAAAAATTTATATTTAATTAATTATTTCAAAGTTTGATTAATTCTGTGTTGTGTTTTAAAGATAATCAGAATGATTAAAAAAATGATTGTATTTGAAAAATATTTATTTTTTATTATTATTATTTTTATTATTATTATTACAAATAATTTGAAATAAAGTATTATTTTAAATGTTTAAATAAATATAAAATAATTATTAATAATTTTGATCTTAAATAATAATTCCAATCTAAAATGAAAAATAATTAAAAAAATAAAATAAAATAAATATTATTTTATTTATTTTAATTTAAATAAAAACCCACCCAACAATCAATAAAAAAAAAAAAACACTCAACTATGTTCTATTATTAGGAAATCTGCATAAAAAAAAAACAACACACATAAACAAATTTCTGCTTCTAAAAAAAAACCCACAAAACACACATACCACACACACATATATGCACACATTGTAAGAAACTTTTTATTGATGTTTTCTTATTTTGATTTTAGTGCCTATTTTAAAATTTTTTTTTATTTTTAGAATATGTGAAAAAGTAAAATTATTTTCTTACAATGCATCAAACAAAAAGTAAGAAAAAATATGATAATTTTAAAAAAACACAAAAAAAAAATAAAGACAAACAATAAATCATTTAGGACAATAGAACCAAAATGTGTGTCTTAAAAAAAGTGAGTGGTGTGATTTTCTAATTTTATTATTATTATGTCACTATTACAGTATCTCATTATGGTATCCAATGACATGTACAAAATACATTAAATATTTTTTGTTTGTAAATCTTAACCATCATCATCAGTTATAATTTTTTTATTATAAAATTTTAAAATTTTTTTTTATAAACCTAAAATAATTTTTTCAAATAATCTTTTCATAAAAAAAAAAAGTTTTTTTCTAAAAAAACAATTTATTTATTTTTTATTTGTTTTCTGTTGTTTTATGATTAAAAATTGTTGAAAAAGTATTTGGTGATTCAAGTGGTGAATCATCGTTATTGGTAGTTTTGGTGTCTGTTTGGGGGGTGGATCCAAAAATATTATTATTAGATGGTTTTGAGTTACCAAAAACACTACCACTATTTGTGGGATTTGAATTACTAAAGACACTTGAAGTTGTGTTACCAAAAACACTGCCATTATTTGTGGGATTTGGATTACTAAAGATACTTGAAGTTGTGTTACCAAAAACACTGCCACTATTTGTGGGATTTGGATTACTAAAGATACTTGTAGTTGAGTTACCAAAAATGGAGGAGTTAGTTGTTGCTCCAAAAATACCATTACTTGGTTTATAGAATCCAGAAGGTGAACCAACAGAATGTGTTGGTGGTGATAAATGTGATTTGGTTGGGGTTTTTGCTTGATCAGATTCCTCGTTAGATTTTGTGGGCATGCTGGAACCTAGAGTACCAAATAAAAAGGTTTGTTTTGGTTGATCTTCTTGATAGTTTTCCTCTTCGTCCTCTTCGTCTTCGTCTTCGTCTTCGTCTTCGTCTTCTTCATCATCGTCATCATCGTCATCATAGTCATCATCGTTATCAGCGTCATCATAGTCTTCCTCATCATCATCTTCATCATCGTCAATATTATTAAATTCTTCAGCTGATTGTGATTTTTTAACTTTGGATGGTGATTTCAAATTGGTTTCAACAACATTTTCCTTTTTACTATCAATTTCTTTTATTGGTTTAGTTTCTATTTCTTGAGGTTCACCTTTATTTTCTTCTTTTTTACTATCAATTTCTTTAACTATTTTGGTTTCTTCTTTTGTCTCTTCATTGTTTTGTTTAGTTTCTTCTGGTTTTTTTTCTGATAAATCTCCAAATGTTTGTAATTTCACATTTGATCCGAATATTGGTGTTGATGAAGAGAAACTTGATGTTGCTTGAGCACCAAATACTGCAGTTGGTGGAGATTTTTCGCCTGGTGTTGATGGTTTTAATGGAATATTTTGAGTATGACCAAATAATGGCGAGGAGGTGCTTCCAAATCCTGTTCCAAATGGTGAACTGGTTGAAGCATTGGATGTTGAAATTGGTCCAAATGCTGAAACTTTTTCACCATTGTTAGTACCGAAAGAGCTAAATCCGCTGCTACCAAATCCAAATGATGATGCACTAGTTGGTGCTGAAAAAGAGGCAGGTGCAAATAATGATGGTTTAATGGTAACTTTGATTGGTTCTTCTTGGATAGCTTTTTCATTTTCTGATTCAGAACTGGATTCTGGTTGGTCTAATTCTTTTGGATCTTCGATTTTAGAAATTTCATCAATGAGTCCAGAGTCTCTATTAATTTCTTTTGAAAGGCTGCTCATTCCAAATATTTGGTTTGGTGTGTTATTTGTGGAAAGTTCTGGTTCTATAGTAACAGTAGTTTTCTTTTCATTTGGTTTATTTGCAAAACATAATGAACAGTTTTTAGTTGATAATTCATTCTTTTGTTCACAGCATAAACAAACCCAAACATTACTATCAGTTGTTTCTTGTTTTTGGTCTTGTTTTTTATCTTCTAAACTGGTTGCACTACCAAATAAATTTGAGGTTGTGCTAGAAATATTACTACCAAATGTTACCGGTGTAGTTGTTCCGAATGAAACTGGTGTGGAGGTACCAAATGTTACCGGTGTAGCTGTTCCAAATGTAACTGGTGTGGAAGTGCCAAATGTAACTGGTGTGGTAGTACCGAATGTAACTGGTGAAGTTGTTGAGAAAAGACCTGCATTATTTTGAGCTGGAGTTGATGATGATCCTTCTGAAGTAAATTTAACACCTTTTGGCTGTGGAACCATACAAACAGAACATTCTTTGGAGTCTTTTGGGTTTTTAGTTTCACAACAAGCACATGCCCAAACTAATGGTGCTTCATTGTCATTTTCTGTTTCCTTCTCTTGTTCTTTTTCTTTAGTTTCTTCAACTTTCTTTTCTTCTTCAAATTTAGAGCCTGTCATAGAGTTATTATCACCAAATGTAACTGGTGTAGTTGTTCCGAATGAAACTGGTGTGGAAGTGCCAAATGTAACTGGTGTGGTAGTACCAAATGTAACTGGTGTGGTAGTACCGAATGTAACTGGTGAAGTTGATGAGAAAAGACCTGCATTATTTTGAGATGAGGTTGATGATAGTGATGACCCTTTTGAGGTAAATTTAACACCTTTTGGTTGTGGTACCATACAAACAGAACATTCTTTGGAGTCTTTTGGGTTTTTAGTTTCACAACAAGCACATGCCCAAACTAATGGTGCTTCATTTTCTGTTTCCTTCTCTTGTTCTTTTTCTTTAGTTTCTTCAACTTTCTTTTCTTCTTCTAATTTAGAGCTTGTTATAGAGTTATCACCAAATGATACTGGTGTAGTTGTTCCAAAAGTAAATGTTGCTGGTGTAGTTGTTCCAAAAGTAAATGTAACTGGTGTGGTAGTACCAAATGTAACTGGTGAAGTTGATGAAAAAAGACCTGTATTGTTTTGAGCTGGAGTTGATGATGATCCTTCTGAAGTAAATTTAACACCTTTTGGTTGTGGTACCATACAAACAGAACATTCTTTAGAGTCTTTTGGGTTTTTAGTTTCACAACAAGCACATGCCCAAATTAATTTATCTGATGGTGTTTCATTTTCTTTTTTTGATGATTCTTCGGACTTTTGTTCTTCAACCTTTTTTTCTTCTATTTTTGTTTGATCAACAGAGTTTGGTTTATTGGAGGTGGTAGTACCAAATACTGAGGTTGTGAAAGTTGTTGTGGAGGGGTTATTTCCAAATATTGAATTTGTTGGTGAGGTTACACCAAATACTGAATTTGAAGAGGTTGTAGGTGAGGTAGTACCAAATATTGAAGTTGAGAAGGTTGTTGGTGAGGTAGTACCAAATATTGAAGTTGAAGAGGTTGTTGGTGAGGTATTACCAAATACCGAAGTTGAAGAAGTTGTAGGGGAGGTATTACCAAATACCGAAGTTGAAGAAGTTGTTGGTGATTTAGTAACACCAAATATTGAAGTTGTAGAAGTTGTAGGGGAGGTATTGCCAAAAATTGAATTACCCCATTTGGCTGGTTCATTTTGAGATAAATTTTGAGCAGAAAAGATAGAGCTAATTTGATCAGATGATGATTTTGGAGATGGTGAAACAAATTTAACATCCTTAGGTTGGGGAGCGAAGCATGATGGGCAACTTTTAATTTCTTCTTTAACCTCAGAATTACAAGCAATACATTTCCAAACTAAGGAAGTATTTAGGCCTTCAGATTTCTTTTCTTCTTCGGCCTTTGCTGTAGATCCAATACTACCAAATAAAAAGGTTTGTTTTGGTTTGTTTTCTTCTTCTTTTTGAATGGTTTCTTCATACTCTTCTTGGTCATATTCATCCTCATCATCCTCATCATAATATTCTTCTTGGTCTTCATCATAATCATATCCCTCTTGGTTATCTTCTTCATCATAATCACTTTCAGTTTCATCCTCTTCTTCGTACTCTTCTTCTTCATCCTCATCAAAGTTTTCTTTTTTCTCTTCATATTTTGGTAATTCATTGTTCTTTTTAATTTGGAATAAAGATTGAGATTTCTTTTCATCAATTTTGCTTTGGATTTTCTTTTGAATACTAGTTTGTTTACCTTTAGTTTTGCTTGGATATTTATTTGAGTCATCAGAAC